TGAGACGCGTTAGCCCACTCGGCCACTTCCTCCCCTTGTTATAAATATATACCCATACATCTATATATATTCTCCGTGATACAGACGGCATGCCGGTGCGGAACAATTTGCGTTTGAATCTCCTCTCCTCGGTTTCACATTTCCGCCGCCAGGCAGGAACAAGTAGATTCCCGCTTCTCCCTTTCACGTATTTTCCGCTGGGTGGCGGTGCCTCCCTCGTGTTTGCGAATAGCAGGAAAATGAACTGGAACACTCTGGGTTCTTCCTATCGCAAGCTGTGCTTCGTCCCGCGTGTTGGTTGGCGTTGCTCGTAAAATACTGCGCGCATATACCGAGGGGACTTTACGAGCAGGACCGTGCTGACGCCATAACTATGCTGTTCTTTTAAAGCGATAACTTTAGAGGAACAGCACAAGCCCTCCACGATCCTTTCTCGCTCGTGTTGGTCTGACCGCATGTCGTCACAATATCACGCATCTCGTGACGTGGCGTCACAATATCACGCATCTCGTGACGTGGCGTCACAATTTCCACGCTAACTTCCCATAGAAAGTGCTGCACGTCAAAAACCCATCCGCCCCTTCGAAGCATTTGACGGAAAGTCGAAGCAAAGCGATTTTTTTTTTGTTCTCGTTTTTTATTAGGTGATGGATGAATGTATGAACGGTTGAATGAATGAACGTGAATACCTGCCGCTGCTGAGCCCTCTTTATACGATGAATTCCGCTCTCTTTGAAAGGTTACACGACTCATTACCTCTATTATCGTACTCATACTTCTATTCTGAGAAGCTTGCGTTGTTTGTGATGATCGCTTATGATGCGATAGACCATCTTCCAATATGCACACGAGTTGAGCGATTTTTTTTTTACCTCGTTTTTAGACCTTCGTTGTATTGTAGAAGAGTATCAAATCACATTGTCAGAGATTTTGAAATCTCGACTCTTTCAAAACGTATAGTTGCACAAAATTCTTTATTTTTTGTTTTTGTAGTTTATGTTTTAACGTTGAAAAGCTAGATACCAAGTAAGCTCGCGCAACGGTTTATTATGCAACCTCATGTTTCGAGACTTGAACAAGCCGCCCTCTTCGTTGTTCGTTTTGCTTCCTTTGCGGACGTGACAGTCGCAGGGTGATGTTACAGCCGTGAAAGCGGACCTCCTGCTCTTTGACATTTTATGCGACTAATGTTACTTCATTATTATTATTATGATTTCTTTTTTATATACCCAGGTTTCCATATTCGAAAACGGGCTCGGGTTCGTCGTGTTGTAACTGGAAACATTCGTAAAACTGTCGTACATGTCCATTCATTTTTTTTTTTAAACTTTCACCTTGAGACATTTTACTTTCCCCACTCATGGACTTTCTTATCAGTACTCCTTCTTAAACTTCGTGGTGTTTCTTTTTTATTTTATTTTTTTTATTTGGCGCGTTGTGTTTAAACGCCGTCTATGCTTTGTTCACCGGCCTAAGCTGACAGTGCAGTCGAAGCTACGCTCTTGTCGGACCAATCAGCGACCTCCCTTTTATCACGCGACCGCACTTCCTGCACGTGGGAATATATTGGAAGGGGGGGGGGGGGGGAGGGGGAAAGGGGGAGGGGGACATACCACGATCACGTGGGGAAAGCAAGACGTCTGATTGGTTCAGCGAGCACGTAGCATCCCACCGCACTGTCAGCTTAGGGATAAACACACGCGCTCGTCACATTATGGCTCGATGCGTTCCAAACACGCTCAAAAACCCGACCGACAAATATTGCAAAAAAAGAAAAACAGTACAGCAGCAGCATAAAAGCAAGAAGCCGGGAGAGGGTAGGAAGAGAGAGAGAAAAATAGTTGGAACATAGTCGTTAGTTGAGCAACACAACCTCTGCCATTCGTTCTTCGCGCTCTATGAGCTGTTTGGTTGAGCAACATCGTCATTATGGGGAATGCAGACGACCGGGCGAACCATCCCAACCGCCCAATCTTCTCTCTGGAGTGTGCCTCGATTACGGAGCGTTTCCAACTGCTCGTTCGTTCGCAGTATCAACTGCAAGGGGGTTGACGAAAGCGGCGTTGGTCGTCTTGCGAGCGTCCCCGTCTCTCTTCGCCCTGTTGCCTCCTCGTCAGGTAACAACGCAACGGAGGCGCGCTTGCAACCAGTCGCCGCGGAAAACTCTCGCCATTAAATTGCAAATGCCCTACATGGGTTGGGATGCTCCGTCTCTTAAATCTAGGCTCTTTATTTTTCTGCCCTCGCACGCGCGCGCGCCGCCGCGCTCCACTGCCGCCGACCGAAGCTTCGCCAAGACGACCGCTTCTTGCAACACGAAAGAGAGAAAAAGCGAGGATGATGCGGTTTCTATACTAAAACCACTGCGCCCAGAATGTTTTTTTTTTTTTTTTTTCGCAAAAGAGTGGTACGCAAAACCCACTTTTCGATTCGGTTTCGTATTCCCCCCTCGTCTTTCTCTAAGCGTCACACTCTTTTCTTCAATTTATAAAAGGGAGACTCGGCGAAAATCCTATCTTTGGGTTACATCTGTTCTCCCGTCGCCATTTCAAAAGAAGAGCCCGTCTCTTTGTTGTGTTTATATATATATATCTCTGCATATCTATCTATATATCTATAAGAGTTCAGAGTAGCGCTATTTGGTCTTTGGGATCAGTTTCGTTTATTATTTCTCCATCGAAAGCAATTTTTCTCAACTATATACCGAGACGAAATATCTCGAGCTTTGATTTGGAGCCCGTTTTCGATGTCGAAGCGCTTTTTATCCCCGTTTCCTTAGCAACGCACGCAATAAGAAACGAACCTTCCTTTTTTGAATACTACGCGATACGGTACTGATAGGTTATTGGCTGTCACTTCCAAATGCGCGCCGCGATGGTGCGAGTGCCTGCGAAATTCTCGAGAGACTGAAAGAGAGATGGAGAGAAAAAGAGAAGTTCTATCTCTTTTAACCTCCTCTCCTTCGGTGATCCCCCACGTCCACTTTAATAAAAACAACTCGCCCAAGAGTGTTTGTTTGCTCAGTCTTGTCTGTATGTGTGCGTTCGCACCCGTAGCGTATACGGCTTCGGTGAGTCCCATATTGACTCTCTGAGAGCCATCCTTCCCGCGCGATGAGGTAACTCCCGTGAGAAAAAAATAAAAATAAATAAAAGTAAAGGTAAACGGAGTGAACAAGTGCTGAGGGATAGGAATGCAACGCCGCCGTACATTTCGCTTCGTTTTTCATTTTCCCATATTTCTCTTTGAGGAATGGCATGAGAAGAAGAATGGACTCGAAAGGTGTGCGAAAAGCGTCCTCAATATCTTTATTCTTCGCGCATTGCAGCTCCTTTGGTTGTTCTTTCTTTCCGTATGCGAGTCCGTTAGTTCGTTCCCATGTGCGTGCGTGCGTGCGCGCCCGTGTGTGTGTGTGTGTGTATGTGTGTGTGAGTGTGAGGGGAGAGAGAGAGAATGAGAAAGAGCATTTTCTTATTTTCTTTCACCACATATCTTTAAAAAGGAATAGGTTGGAGATAAAACAATAAAGATATAGGAGGCTAAAGTTTGTGTTCGGGTTTATGGGGGTTCCAAATTTTCAAGCAACGCAGACGATTTCTTTTTTTTTTTAGTAGATGGTGGGATAGCGATTTTTAAATTTACAATTTTGTTTTAAGAGCGTCCCCTTCCCTCTGGGTGGAGTCGCGCTTTGTCAGCGAGTTCTTCGCCAAGAGAGATTGCTCGAAATAAATACAGAAATGGGAGGGACGGCCTTTGAATTGATGCGGGCGGCATTGTCTGTTGCTAAACAGGTCGCCCCGTCTGCTCCCAGCGGCTTAGTGCTTACGTCAGCTACCCCTCCACCTACTGTCATCCGCTACCCTTTAATGCGTCTCTCTTTTACACAAGAGGGTACTCTGACCTTGGTTTCCACGGTGATCCTAACGTAATCTTCACTTTCTGTATGCATTATCTGAAGCTGTGGCGTTCGACACATGGCCGACGCCACCGATTTGTGCTCGGCTTTTCTCCCGAGTTTTGAAACCGACGGTGGCCGCAGTCTGGTAAAAGCTCAAGGCAACGCGAAAGGTGCAAACTTTAATGGGACCGACACGCGTCAACTTGCACAAGTAAAATGCGCCAATGTAGCGTACGAGCTAACGTTAGGAAGCTTTTAGTAGATTGTCCTGATAACTTGGATAACGGTACCCGATAACGATCGTCCCGATAACTTGGATAACGGTACCCGGCAACGATACGATGAACATGCAAAGGCGCGGGCGGAATCTCGGTCATTGCTATCGGAGTTATCGGTACGATAAGCTATAAAACTCCCTCGCGTCGGATAGTGTACAACCAGAAAGGAGGACACCTCGTCGCTTCTCCCTGCTGGAGAATCGACGGCGAGGAGGAAATACTCGGAGAAGGGGAACGCGGGGAGCGTAATGGGGAAAACCCCGTGGAAAACCCACGGGGCAAAGCATTGACGCCCCGATTAGCCTATTTCAGGCGTGTCACGACGATCTTCTGTGATGACGCAGTGTCTCCCTGGCTTATGGGGAATAGAGGGGGGTCCCAACGCTTAGGTCAATCAATACGCGCTGCAGTGGTTCCGCCGCTGCGAAACCGAGAAAGCATTTCCTGTCGTGCTGAGCATGACTATGTACGTCGGCCTTCTTTTAGAGCAGAGTTTCACGGTACTCCCTTGTCTCGTATCCCTTTTCAGTCTTGGACATCTAGAGCGTCCGCTTTCCCGCAAAGCACCCGGGAAAGCCAATGGCGAGGTTGAAGACATGCTTAAACTTATGAACACGCTGGGTTGTGGTGCTACACGTTAAACGTCATGCGCATTTTTACATTATGTAAAAAAAAAAGCAGCGCAGACTGTTTTTTGTTTTTTTTTAATGGCTAAACATATTTTTAATTATTCGTGAGTCAACGAGCTTCCTCGGTAGATTGGAGCGATAGGCTCTTCGGAGTGCTTTGCGGGGCGGTCCTAGACGATCCCTATTTCTTGGGAGTGTTGCTGCATGACGGCCCTGTCCGTGTGTGCTGTGCCCGCCACCTACATGTCCGGTGTGTCGCAGGTGCAACAAGACGGCCGAAGAGGCGTCGTCTGTGCGTCAGCTGCTGCTGGGTGCCGGCACCCCGTCGTCTGCGTCCTGCGCGTCCAGCCCGGGCTCGACCAGCAGCGCGGATCGAGGCTATGGATTGCCCTTCTGCATGGACGATGACCAGCTGACCGACACCTGCGACACCTCCCTGCCGGAAGTGAGTGGCTTCCTTTCACCGTCAGTTTTCGCTGCGGTGTCGATGCGGGCGTCTTCGCGGTATGGTCCCTCTGCGTCAGGCGGGTAAAGGTGGGCGAGGAGGGAGGGCAAATCCTGTGCGTCGACATCTGGAGTCCCGAGTGAAAGATGGCGAAAGAGCGCGAGAACACGTGAGAAAGAAACCAATGTTGCCAGCTGAAGGACGGCAGTCGCAATGGTAGTCGCAAAGACTGAAAACTATCAGCAAAATAAACAGCGATAATTTAACGTTGTAAACTGAATTATGAGCTATTCTGACGCATATAAAAAGCCATATACTCATTACGCTGCATCAACTTCCCTGCCGTTGAAATCTCGGAAATCTGGTGGTTGCGCGGTTTCGTAATCCTGGGTTGCGCCCACTCGCGCCTATCAAAACCATAGCGCGAAACCGCTTATCTGGTTTAGTTTTGCGTTGCGCGAGGCCGTACACCTGCGCGCTATGCAAAAAAATAAAGCTTCGAAAGCAACGCGAATATCTTCCCCCCTGTAAGTACGTGGATTGTTGAAGTTCATGAAACTGCATCCTCTGATGAAATATATATTCGTGAAATCGAAGGCAGTTGGGTAACCATGTGTGGGCTCCCAAAGGTCTGCCTCCATGCTCCGCCGCTTGCGGCAGCCAAAGCGCATGGGAAAAGGGCGGACCTTTTCCTCTAGAGTTACGTCATCGCTGACGTCATCTCTTGTTGCGGCGCTGTCTCCGATGACGTCAGTTTTCGCTGCGGTGGCGCTGCGTCCGCGTTCGATGTTAGTCCGATGGCGTGGCGTTGCTTACAGTACGAGCGAGGCAGACATCATTCGACGGAGAAACAGTGCCATATTTGTTGATTAGATCGTGTCATAGTTTCTCAGTGACAAACTGATTAAAGCATTTAAAATACAGAGAGTTTCCGGGAAACTAGAACCGTGTTTTTCGGCCCGGGTAAATAAACTATGCAACGCAGACAGCTCGAACTTCGTGATTATGCGGCGGTTGGGATAGAACGCGAAATTCAAGAGAACATGACATAACCTTTATCAAGATAGTTGAGAAAAACGAAATTTATCTATGGGCCGACGTCCACCTAAGCCTAATATCATCAATTCAAGAAATGACACTGTGGGAACATGTAACATCTATTTCAGTGAAAAAAAAAAAAAAATCCCGGGAAGAAAGAGGATATTCTTTTTTTTTTTTGCTGACAAGGTTTTTTCACTGAAATAGATGTTGCAGGTGCCCCCAGTGTCATTTCTTGTTTTGACGATATTGAGCTTAGCTGGACGCCGGCTCGTAGAGAAATTTCGTTTTGCTCAATTACCTTTTGATCCAGGTGACGTCATGTTCTCGAACTTTCGCTAACCTCACATCCTCGCGAAGTTTGAGCTTTCTGCGATGCTTAGTTTCTTTACCCGAGCCGAAAAATACGGTTCTCGTTTCTCGGAAATTCCACGTACAATATACGTTTGCTTTTATATTGAGTAAGCATTAGTAATAATATTAAAAAAAAGAACACACAAATAAACTACTTTATAAATTTATTGTTTTCTAAAAGGTGTGTGTGTCTGTGTGTGCGCGCGTGTGTGTGTGTGTGCAAATGTCGGGCAAAGCTGGGATAGTTCTTGACATTGACTAATATGTCTAAAATAATTTAAAAATAAAAATCTACAAAAATGGTTTTTGATAAAATCGACCTCAAACTTTCAACATTTCTTATTCCTTACAACGTTTACGTGAAGGTAGCGGAGCGGCTAGTCGACAGATCATAATGATATTATTATATCTGTAATGGGCTTGTTTTCGGCTTTCTGTAGAGCCAAAAAAAGAAAATGTACCTTAAGTACTACAGACAAAGTAATGACCTGTTAAAGTTGACCAAAAAGCGACCGGAGTGACGAGTTTGACATGTTTTTTAGAAAACAATCAAATTCCTAAAAATATTTGAATACGTCAAGGTATCTTTATAATACATATTAAATGAGGGGGAAAAGTTAAAAGGGTGTAGGAAAAGCACTAGCGCCAGCAGAGGGTTTCAAACACGCGACCTGCGACGGCGGGCAAAAACACTAGCTTCTGCCACTGCGGCTCCTACGCTTCGTAACTGGAGAACAAAAAATCTGGGGAACATGCGGTTGGCGCCCTTCTTCATTTGAGAAATGCCTCCAAAACACATTTTTTTCGTCAAAATTAAGAATTAGTCCCTTTTAGCCTGCCCGATTTGAGATGAAACCATCCATATACATATATATATATATATATATATATATATATATCGAAGCGCGGTGATGCGCTTCGATAAGAAACCGAAATCTAGAAACGCGTCCAAATGGAGCGTTTTTACAGAACGCCGTAAAATGCTGCCCCGGGCATTATATCCTTCCAAAAATAGTTGATTTAGCGGTTTTCAGTGATGCTCTACAAGTTTCTAATTGAAACCATATGTCCATTTTCATTAATTAAAAAGTTAATTAACAAATTTTAATTAATTAGCCTACTTATCGCAAAGATTAGCCACCCACATAATGACTTGCACAAACCTCAATAGTATAGCTTTAACGTTTTGTTTTAAACAATTGTCTAAAAAAAAAACGAGACGAGCAACTCTGGGATCGAATTCCATAAACGGCCCGTATCCGAGTAATCCCGCCCCTATCCGACTCAAACGCGGTTCAAACGGACTCGGAATCCGGGAGCCGGAACCCGTACTGACGTAATCACTTCCGGCCCCCGTTACGGACCCAAGTCTTCACGGTTTGGTTTGAACGGCGCGTAATCCGAGAGCCGGCGTGTCCGCTCGAGCATTCGTAGAATAAAAAAAAAAATCGAGGACGATGCATGGTGATGAAGAAACGGAGATTAGGATGCGATTGTCCATAAGCGCCCGCACGGCACATTTCGATTATGTTCTTCATGCACACGCGTCCTCATGGTGCGGATCGATGCAAATTAAGCGTCGGGTAATGTGAAGGCTAGCCTAGTTCAAGTTACGACAATTTCGCTGATGACCCCCCCTTCTTTCGTTTTGCACCCGCGAGGCTAATTAAATGCATAATTAAGAGACCGGCATCTTCCTTTTCTTTTTAAGAGAGAGAGAGAAAGGAGAAGGCTTACAAAAGAGGAAATTCTAACGTAGCCAGAGGCCAGACGGTCATCATTAGTTCGAGGGGAGATAACAAAACTGTTTCCGAGTCAATTTGAACGAGCATGGTTTCGAAAACAGCTATGACTTACGAACATTGCGAAAGGAAACAGACAAGGCGTGCTACATACACACGTATAGTGCCCAGAGTATTACGAAAATGGATCGTCATCCTGCGAGAAAAAGCGTAACGTTTCGCGGGCTTTCAAAATATAAGTTTGCTTTAACGCGTAACAAACCGTACGCCAATTAAAAAAAGAAGAAGATTAGTTTTAGAGTTTTATAATCTATATAATGCAGTATTCAAGTAGTAGTATAAATTTCTTTAGAACACATTAAACGGCCCTTTCGGGGGCTTTGTCTTCTATGCCAGGGGCCATTGAAAATCGTAGCGGGGATAGTTGACCGAGCGGCACGCCTCACAATTCGTGTGACGTGAGTGTTTTTGTTTTATCATATGTAATAAAATAAGAAATATTAAAAAAAAATTACAAATACACTTAAGTGTCGGAATGCGAAAGCATTCGTCCACGTAGCGTATTTCTTCAAGCTGCGCGCCGCGCTGAGCTCGGCCGTGCGGCCTCTCCGGAGTGTGCCCGGGAAGGCCCTGCTGGTTCTGCGGCCGGCCCGTTGGCTGAGGGGCTTCACCGGCGGCCGGGCCGCTGCGCCACCGTCGAGAGGGCTTCTCTGTGGGGTAGCGTTCTTTGGAACTACGCCGCGCGCCAGCCAATGGGATGGCTGCTACAGATTACACCCTTCGCTCCATGGGACAGGGGATTTAGGTGCCGTTTGGCGCGGCTTCAAAAGCTGATAACGCCGGTTTGCTCCATGCAACAGTTTATAAAAAGAAGGGGGCTTGGATTGAACCATGTAAAGCGAAAGCTCGCGCTATAGAACCCAGTGAACTTGGGCTTAATCCCCGCCCCTGCCTGTTTCGATTTGGATGAGTGTGGTACCGGCGTTTACGTTCTGTATTTGTGTGGCATGAGGCATCTGAAAGATCCAGATACGCAGTCGTACTGCACTGGCCTAGTTTCTCATCTAGAGCTGGTGACAATGTCGCCCCAAACCAGGCTAACCTCACGCTTGTCTAAACATCTAACCAGAAGTTTATTTTTCTGATACTCAGAAATTGTAGCTTTCTCTTTCGTTTTTTAGTTTTCACGAAACGTGGGTCATTAACATGATTTTAAAGTAAATCTAACCAAACTTCCCACAAAACTAAAAAAAAAAAAACAAACCTTTTTATTAAAATAAAACACCAGTAAAGACGATATTAGGTGTGTGCGGTTGTGTCGGATAGGAGGGATATTTTACTGTGCACACTATCCCCCTCGATTTCATTGAAAGGCTATACACGAAGGCCTTTCGGAGTCGAGTTCCAAATGTCATTAGCCCTTCCGCTAGCCTTACGAACGCGCTTTAAATATCGTTGTACCCTGTAGTCCCATCACCTGTTCCACGTAGGCGATGGGACTACAGTAACAAATGTGTGTGTGGGCGAGGGGTCTTCAAGTAGAGAGGAAGACAAAATAGAAGGGCTCCGTGCCTTGACACCTCTGAGGGGATTGTTTTTGTGGCATTTCGATTCCAATATCAGCTGTAAATGACACTCAGCTCGCTCTCCGCAGAATTTCTGGTCTCCGTTCTTGTGGTCTCTAAATTGACATTTTCAAAAGGGGCGAGTGTGTCAACGAATTGCAGCTTGAAGCACCATGGAGCGAAAGCTCGCGTTTGCGGAGCTCAGGGATCATTGGGTCTAATCCCCACCTCTGCCCGTTTTGATCTGGATGGGCATCGTACCGGCGTGCGGTCATGTATTGTACTACAGTGTGGTGCACGT